AGTGGGTCAAAACTTTTGTCCTCGCGATGTATGCAGAGCGAGAAGAAGAAAAAACGTTGATGGGAACCTACTGACAAGCACATCGTTCCCGACTCTGACAAGCTCCTCGCGAAGGGGGCCGCGGACGTAATTCACAAAGGCCTCCTCGAAAAGCTTGCTTGCTGGTCTGGATGCCATTAAGAGTCAAGACTAGTACGGCGTTCTGACTGACTACTGCTGTTAAGAACTACACACCACCCCGTGTCTCATGAACCTATAGCCAGGTGGAAGAACAGATAGTTCAGCAAGCGCAAAGATCATGGTTCACGTTTCGCATCCCTAGCTGCAACCATTCCTTACGGCCGGAACCCTTGGCGTCAATCGAACTTTTCACAACGTAGCCATGCAGCCCTCCTGTCAATACGGCTGTCTAACTTGACTGAAGTCCCGGAAACCCAAGAAAGAAAAAATAACTAAAGCACCATACCTGACCTACTTTAAGCTCCGAACTACAAAGATGCGCCTTGCTGCCATACCACTCCTCGATCGCCGAATGGACGAAAGCACGGTCAAAGTCACTACGGGTTTCGGCCTCACCCCGCGTCTCAGGGCTGAGGGGTGCTTCCTCTGCTGCCACTATTACTGCTACCGCAAATTCTACAGGCCTGGCCTCCCACTAGCATTATCACTACCGCTGCCACTACCACTACTACTTCTACTACTACTACTACTACTACTACTACTACTACTACCACCTACTACGACGACGACACTACACGACACTGCACTACACTGCACGGAACTGCAACTGCAATTGCAACACTAGAAGGCTTATGATTTTAGAAGGCATACGGCTCAGGGCTTGGGGCTTAGGGTAGAGTGGTCCTGCTGGTTGTAGGTTCTCCATCTCCGATGCCACGCCATTACGATGTCTTGTGGCTCCACGGCTTGGTAGTGGGAGGGAGCGAGTTCTTGGATTTTGGGGGACCTTTCTGAGGCGGCCCTTTTGCTGAGGACCCAACTCTTCACGGTAAAGGTTTGGAGCCCTATGTCTTCAACCCTAAAACCCCTAGACCCTAGACCCTAGAACCATAAAACCCTAAACCCTAAACCCTCACCCCCTCGGGCCTTGTCCAAATCGAAGCTTTGCAATTCCGTCAGGAGGTGGTGCTTCTCTCTGATGCCACACCGCAGAACATGGATCACGAAGAGGTACGGACACAGGCCCACGAAGTAAACGCTGCAGAAGATCTGCTGTAGGGTTTCGGATTTAAGCTTCAGGATTCAGGTTTAGGCCGTCGAGAAACCCACTTATTTCTACACGCACCACAATCCCAAACTAGACTGCAGGTTCTGGGCTTTAAGGTTCAGGGTTTCGGGCCCTCAAGCGTACAATACAAGGAAACCAAACCTTGAACTCGAAAGCCGGGGAGGGCTTTTGGGGTCTGGGGCTTTAGGGTTTGGGGCCCCAGGATTTATTAGGGTGGGCCGGCCCTCTGGTTCAGGGTTTAGGGTTCAGAGTTTAGGGATGCATGTCAAAATGTTATAGGAACCTGAGTTCAAACCTTGGGTCTTTATTTATGAGCCATTTCGGTATGCATCCTAATATTTGGGGGTTGTAGGGCCAGGGTTTCTTGATCAGGTTCCTACATTGGACCACCTGGTGGCAGCCTTAGCCCTCCACCGAAAGACAACTCCCAGGAGCTCGGTCCTAGACCCTGTACCCTAAACCCGGCCAGGGGGTTCAGCGACTGGAAGCCGCCCAGGATCACAAAGCTGATGAAGAGCGAGCTGGCGAAGTAGGTGGCGAAGAACAGGATCAACTCAGGGCCCGGTTTCTGCGACAGTTCATGGCCGCGCAGAAACCGCTACTAGAAAATGCCTAACTCGCCAGCTCAAAACCCAGCAAAAGTTAGGAAATCCTGCTTCCCATAAACCCTAAACCCTTGCAGCCCTGAACCAGAGTGCTGCGAGAGATTTGGCACATACCCGGCCATGGCCCTTTCGACGAAGAGTGGCGCCAGCGTAATCCGACCTAAGAGCAATCACTGCAGCAATCACTTATCATAAGGACCCTTACTGGGGGTGAGGGGGAGCGGGGTAGGGGACAATACTTCCTTGAATAAGCCTTCTTCGGTTCTTATGAACTAAGGTCGCTATGAACTTAATAGAAGTCCCAAAACCCTAGAGCCCTCTCGACTTTGCAATCATGCATACTTTGGTTCCGTGGCTTCCCGCGCTTGGCTTTGGGTCTGATCACGGGTTGGAGGCTTCTGTCCTGAAGCCTCAAGATTGCAGGGCGTACTTGGGGTGCATTGGAGTGAGAGTTTCTGGGTTTGGGGTTTACAGGTTTAGAGTCTGGGGATTAAGGTTTGTACAGATTCAGGGGTTAGGGTTTACAGGTCTTGGATATGGGGTTTCGGGTCCACCCAACATATACCATGCATTACAGTATGGGATGCAAGGCTCTGCGGCATTGCACCTCGCTGTTTCTCACCGCGTGGTCTGTCTCTTTCCCTTCTTTTCTACCGGATCGTCATCGGCATCCACAATCACCGTAAGTATGAGAAACGCCTTCGTCATCATCATCATCATCATCATCATTATCATCATCATCATCATCATCATCGTCAAACCATCGTCATGGAAACCCTGGCTTAACAGATCCAGTCGTCCTCGTGGTTACCATCGTAACACTAAATCTTGCGGTAGCACTTGTAGCATTGCTCGCCGTCCTGTTACTAGTAGCAAACCAGAAGCCCCAAACCCTAAACTCTAAATCATCATATCGAACCTAAGGCTACGAAGCTCCAGATTAGGATTGAAGGTTGCAACATCGAACCTGGATGCCCTCTCCGCCGCATCCTGGAAGAAGCTCTGAAACCATGGACGACCTTCGGTAACCTTACCTTCCGAAGTCCCTAGACCCTTAACCCTCTGAACATTTCTGAGCAGGCCGACCTGATGGGTTCGCGTGACGGTAAGCCGCCAGCTCGAAGACACACCACCTTGAATTGGAAATGACAGGGCTTGGGGTCTTTACAGTCCAGGGCTCTGGGCTCACCGGCTGTGCTTGAGAGCTCTCCTTGTGACGTTGTTGTGCTTGAGGGGTTTCCCGAAGTTGTCGAGGTGCCTGCCAGAACCACAGTTGAGCCTGCAGAGTCCCAAGAGGTCCCAAACAGAACCCCAGTTGAGCTTGCAGAGTCCCGAGATTTCCCAGACAGAACCACAGTTGAGCTTGCAAGTAGCTTGGAAGTTGGTTCTAGCTTGGCAGAAAGTGAACCCGTGAGCTTTGAAACAGGTCGTTTTGCAGATTTTCAGAACGGTGTTGAGCTTGGCATGGTGCATGTGTCGGGTAGTCATGTTCATGGCATGGTAGCTCATGAGACAGCAGCGTCAGCAAGCCAGCAGCACGACACCATGGACTGGTGGCTGGTCGATTCCGGAGCCTGGGGGTCTTGGATCGATACTGTGCTGAACTGCCGTGCTAGAATCTTCAAGGTGATGCTTCCTCGCTGCTTGCTAGAAGGCTACCACTAGCAAACAAATAGTCGTGGAGAGAGCAACGAGACAGCAACTAACACTCGCAATGACACCGACAACGATGATGACTACGGTCAGCGAACTGACAATCATGGCAACACAAGCCAGTCATCACCAGGGACAGCATTAGATCATCCTGCCACTGATGTGTCTAGCATTGCCATGATTGGTTCAGCTACTTGTTCATGAACCAGAGAAACACATGCTGGATGATTCGCCCAACTAGTTCTACTTCTCTGCCTTCATACATCTGCAAGGTGCCAACATCGCACCACCAGGCTGCAGGTTGCAGTAAGCCGGGGAGGCAAACGAAAAGATTCCATGAAGAGCTGCCAAGCGGCAGCCGTGAAAGGTATGGGCGGCTCCAAAGCACACGTAGCTCCTTGGATACCTTCAAAAAGCCGCCTAGCCCGTAAATCCCGCGCTCCATGAGGGCAGCATCGGTCTGGTGTATGCTCACAGCATCCAGGAAGCAGACTCCATCCCATACAAGTGGTACGCCGTAGCCCTCGGGCAAGTACGGAGCTGACAGCATCGCAATGATTGAGGAAAAGAAAGTAAGGAGCAGCGTCCATGGGAAATATGGGACCGTCACCTTAAAGTTCGGGCACTGCGCTGTAAAGTCGAAGGGCAGAGGCAAGCTGTCTGTTGAGTGAAGCAGACACACAACTACGACCATCACGCCATAGAGGAAAATCACCCACTTCCATCCGGCTTGCAGCAGCAAAGAAAGCATCTTCCACGCTCCTGCTGTATGCCACGTGTGGGATAGAAAGACGTCGAAGTGTTCAACATATCGAGACTTGCTCCTGGCGCACAACCAAGTTTCGGACTTGTCTCCCCTCACTTGGAAGTCTGATTTCGACAGAACCCCATTGTTTCTCCATGGCCAAACAACAAGCAAAAAAGGAAGGCGCGCAACACGCTCTAAGCTCTGGTTCTGAACAACCCGCAGAAGTGGCGATGAGTGGCAACAAACCTTGAACACAAAAACAAGGCTCCACAGCTGCCCTCGTTCGTGTTCGTCGAGATCGAGTGGAGAGCAACGCCAAAGACGTCCACCGCCTCTGACGAACCGAACATTCGCTTTCGACACTTCCCGAAAAGTACTGTATCTACCACCGTTCGCGGATCTAGCATAGGAGTTTACAGAGGCTTCGATAGTTCGAAGTTCCTAAACGTGACTTTAACAATCACCCAAAGACTTTTCTCCGAAATCAAGTGTCACAAAGATCTGGCCTAGACATTCTTCCATGTTAGAAAAATCTAATGGCCTGACCGTGCTTCACAACTGCAATGTGTTGCTTATCAGGATTTCGAATCTACTCGTCCAAACCGTGAGCGTAGCAACATTTTTGCTGTTGCGATCATCATCATCATCATCATCATCATCATCATTATTGCTGTTTTGATTTCAACAATGCTGAAGCAGCATGTCAGAAGGTGCTCGTGATTTGCGGAAGTATCCACGAAAGAGCAGTGCATAACTTCTGCACGATTTATGCATGGTAGCTTTGTCCTAAGCACATGCGCACACAGAGAATGCGTCAGGAGTCTCGTCGTGAAATCCTTCGCGCCAGCAACGCCGAGCGACGCGCGAGCCCCTCACACGCGTCAAATCATACGGGGCACTACATGTTTTGATACCAACTCCGGAGTTTGCACTCGCACGTCCATGTAGCTTGAATGTATAGACTTGGCTATACTGGCTGAATGCAGCCGCGGTGGCAATCACGCGGCCACATAAAACCATATTTGCCTATTTATAGGTCTATGCGTTCATGTAATGATGTAACGGTTTATAAAACATGGAGTTATATGTGTATATATATATATATGTTTTTACTGACTTAATTATATATATATATATACACATATCTCTATCTAACTATATATCTATATATGTATGCTTATACATAAATATCTTCTGACTTATAGACTTGTATATTTGCATGTCTATTTATTTATTGCTCAGCTATCAATTTACTTGTTTATGTTTCTATACCTTTATACTTGCACACTGATATATCCAAGATTGAAATGTATTTCTCTATTTACACACATATAAATTCACATATTCACATAATTGTGTGTTTATATGCTTACATATTTATATAATCATACATGTATAGATGTATATATTCTTGATGTTGACATATTCACATAATTACATTTCCAAATAACTAGGAATGTACATACTTATATATATAAATATGACTTTACATACCTATATGTTCATATACTTAGTCGCAAGTATGTTTCTATACTCATAAGTTTATGTCTTCATATGTCTTTACATACTGATATGTCTGTATGTTGATATATGTATATGTTTCTGTCTTTATGTATTTACATATCTATGTACTTGTATATACATATATTTCCATATTTATACACTTTTATATTTGTAAATTTCCATCTTTTGTATGTATATACTTATATGTTTGTACTAACATATATATATATACACATATCTGTATATATATATATACGTACCAAAGAGTGTACATACATACGCACTATGACACACTACTACAGTATAACTTCTGTACATACATATATAGATAAATACCCTTACTTATATACATATGTATACATATACATATATCATATATATATATATATATTTACTTCAATATACTCTGCATTTGCATATATACATACGTGTAAACATACATACTACAATATACTCCAACACACTACAACCTAACCAATCCATGTCATAAGCACCAGAAACACAACACAATTTCGTGCTCCACGACAAACACTATCACCACCAGCATGACCACTTTCCTCATCAGGACCGTAATCAACGTCCGCATAACTACCATCATCATCATCCATCATGATCATCCTTACATGTACTCACCGTTACCAGTGCCACTACGGATACTGATCATCACGAGAACTCTGCTCTGCACCCTGCTGGACTTTTGTTTGCACGTACAGACTCGAACCCAAGAGCAAGTACTCGAGCATCGAGACAGTCGAAATCCTGAAAGCTGATATAAGGGCCTTAATACTAATCATTATATGATATATGATATATCATACATGATACATTCTATGTTCTATATTAGATATTATTGAAAAGTCTTCGCCTCGACCCCGACCGAAGCTGGCTTCCAAGCGCCCACGAAAGCGTGCCTTCGGGGCGTGCCACCTCTTTGTAACATCTTAATGAAACGCAAGTCAACACATTCATATCTAACCCTGAAGGCTCCAAAAACCCTAAACCCCAAATCCTGAACCTTAAACCCTAAAACTCTAAGCGGCCGACGCCGAAGGGAGGCGCGTAACGAGATGCCACGGAGGATCTCCGCATCAACCTCCAGGCCGAGGAATGTCAGGATGTAGGGCAGTTGGAATAGGGTTCCTTTGAGGGTTCCTTCAAGAGTTCCGCAAAGCGCTCTATAAGGATTATTAACCGGTTTGCTATACCGGTTCTTTTCAAGACTACTGTAAGGGTTCTAGAAGGATTCTGTGATCTAGGCCTTAACAGCCCGAAGAGGGTATTGGTGTTCATTATGAAAGGAAGAACTACAGGAAACGCTGTTCCTCATTATTCAGACCTGCATATTATGTTAAACGTGGGGAGTTCAGGGTGCAGATGGCATCCGCTCGAGGTTAACGTCGACCGGATTTTGACCCCGAAAACGCCCCCAAAACGGCGAGTCCGGTTCTGCGTTTGGGGTCTTCAGGGTTTCGGTTAAGGGTTTAGGGTTTAGGGTCTAGCGTTTAGGTTTTCAGGGGTTTAGGGTTTGGGGTTCCTACTCCTGCTCTGCTGAAAGAAAGCTATGAAGAGGCTCCCGGCTCTGCTCCACCATGTCGACACATGATGAGAACGGTAGCCCGGCAGTAGCTGTGATTCGTGCCAACAGCACACGCCCAGAGACTCCAAAAACCCTTGTATCTACGGAATATACCTTAAATTTTGACAGGGACCCTAATAAGAATTAAAGTATATTCCTTGAATTAGGGTTTTATAGTCTCTCACGCCTCAAGCTGGCGCATCTCTCGTAGGCGGCTCCACTTGCTCAAGACTGCCTTCAGGTGCAGGGCTTATGTGCACAGGCCGTTTGCGCTAGATGCTCACTGATTCCTGGGTTTAGAATGTAGGGTTTAGGGTTACAAGCCCAGTCCGAGCAAGAATGACTCTCATTGCGCGCAGGGATACTTCTTAAACTAGGGCAGGGCTTCTTAGTCAGGCGATCCTACATGTGAGGCATGATGCTCATCAGGTTCCTCATAGTCTGAATCTCCCGTGTGTCAAGCCTGTGTTGCAACTTGAGACTTGCATTCAAGAGCACTCCTGATGTCGATGGCTCGAGTCTCAGATTCTAACGAGAACGGTCGATCGAAATGGGCTGTAGGGTCGGTATTTTGCAAGCTTCCAAAACCCCTCGCATGGACTGCAATGCCTTTCAATTACAAGCTTTGTGAGAGTACCGAAACCGCTCCTGTGGCTCGGCATGTCCCTCAGAACGCTCTGAGCAAACACTAAACCTTCAACCCTAACCCCTAAACCAGGAACCATCCTGTGCCCTAAGGCCCCTGAATTAAGGAATATACCCTAAATTATAATCGGAACCCTACTAAGAAATATGGTATATTCCTTCATTAATCGGTTTTGGAGAAACCTTGAACCCTAAACCCTAAGCGCGAAACCGTGGAGTCTCTGGGAACCTTCAACCGACAACCAGCGCAGCGCTAAGCCCAAGACTTCCGGAGCCTCGGACTGCGGAAGTTCCTGCACCTCGGACATGGGTAGTTCCCTAAATTAGGGTCCCTTTTTGGGTCCCCAAGATAGTATGGCACCCTCCAAAAAGGAACCTCAAAAAACAACTAACTTAGCAAACTACCGACCCTGCCTCCACTGGAACATCTTTGTCCGCATCCAGAGACAAGGTTTTGCCGCCATCAAGCTTCGAAGAACCACCTGGCTCGTGACCGAACTGGCAACAAAAACTCCAAGACCAGTGATGATAGGTGCGATGGTGTTGATAAGTATTCGTCCCTATCGTCGTGCATATAGTCGTGCTGGCACAGCATCATAAGCGTTGCGATATAAGGCATATAATTAAAATTGTGTACAAAACAATGACAAGGCTTGTGGGGATAGAGTTCTCATCGACGACGCATCGCTCTACGTTACAAACCCTAGACTCTAAATCTGTGACCCTGAACCCAGAAGTCTCCGGCTGCAAGCTTTTAAATTGGAGGTCATTCTAGGTGATCGGCATGGGGAGACAGCAAGCCTCAGCCTGAAAGCCAAAGTAAGGTCACCATAAGGGTACTCTATGGAGATCGACGAGATCGAGGGTACTGTGCGGAGACGATAAGCGTACTTTACGGCGACTGTAAGGTTGCTTTCTAAGACTACTATAAGGTACCGTAAGCGACAGGAAGCTTGCTATAAAACCTGAACCCCTAAACCCTAAAGACCGTAGTCGAACGTCGCCTTCCGGCGGATCTTCACAAGCGTGGCTCGCCTCGACCAGCTCCTTTGAACTTGTTGAATGATCGGAGTTTGTCGACATCAGGGCTGTAATGGGTGCTATAAGGTTACTGTGAAGGCATGTTAAGGGGACTGTAAGGTTGTCTGCATATCATGAGGTTACTATAAGGGTACTACTTCAAGGACGATCATTGCCTATCATGTCACGGGGCTTGCTTAGATTCCCTATAAATTCGGGGGGCCCCTTCTTTGCTGCAACTCAGATCCAATACTGCTGTCTGCCCCAAACGGGTTGGGGGTTTTCCGCTTACAGTTTACGGCGTTCATGGGGGCAGTTGAGATGCAGATATCCGGTATTTGGTCTTTCCAACAAGCGACACTTCTGAATCACTGAAGAGAGAGCGAGAGAGCTGGGGGCCTTTGGCATCCGGAAAGAATGGAGCAGAGTATTTCAGTGATACGAGCCAGGATCTCCCCTCCCTGCAAGACAGGCACAAAGCTTCAGCACTAACCCTAAACCCCTACTTAAACCCGAATTGAACCCCTGATTAAACCCTAAACCTAAACGTTCAAGTTCAGGGTTCCCCGCGACCCCGCGGCAACTGCAAGATTCGAAAGATTGAAGACGTCAGCGTAGATTGCGACGGCCACCTTGATCCCGAAGCCCTCAACCTTCAATCCTTAGCCTAAACCCCAAACGACCGCAAACAATAAACCCCCATCCCGAACACTAAATCCTAAACGGTCCTAAACCCTAAGTCAAGGCCGCTCCTTGGGCGGCTCGGGGATATCTTCTTGGCAGCAGCTGGCTCTGGAGCCCATAGCGGTTTTCCACCCCTAACCCGCAACTGCACGGTAAAAAAGACCGTGCCAGTTGCTCCCGTCTGCCGGTGTTCTTGAGGGATGCATGTCGCCGGCATGTGTCAGGTTTTGCCATCTACCCACTATCCGTTGCATCGCTGCTCTTCACACTAGCATGCCTCAAAGTTCGAAGGCTACATGAAACCAAAAACGCTCAATACAAAGAACACGACGCAATAGCAAAACAGCAACTACTGTATACGAACTACATGCGAGACACGGAACTATATAGGCTTCAGTCGACTGTCACGGATCATGTTGCTGGTAGCATGCTCATCTTTGCTAACGTAGCGAAGCGTATAGGATCCTGGTACGCACCTAACATCATTTGGCAGCGTTTCGTGTCATGTTCCGTATTGTGGATGGGACCGTGCTAAGGCATCTATACTGAAACATACCAAGCTTGGCACCCACTACTTTCCGCAACATGGCATTTTGCAGAACTTCGGTGTGATACGTTGCTGGCATACTGCCATGTTGGCAACCGGGTGTTATGTGTGCTTTGGTATGCCATGTTGAACCGTATGTTGATGCCTGCCTTTCGTACTGCGCCAAGTGCAAACCACCTTTGCATACCCTTGCAAAAGGGATCCAGACAGCGTTGCCAAAGTTGGTACATGCTCGTGCAATACACGGCGAGAGAAATGAAAATCTCAGAATTAGCTCTAGCATAAGCATCGTGAGCATCGCCATCTTATTCTTCTTCTTATTATTCTTATCATTATTATTCGTCTTCTTCGTCATCACCCTCATAACTACGTATAGAATACAACTGAGGCTGCTTAACCTAAACCCTGAACCCAAACCCCGAAACCTCTCCTAAACCCTAAACCCAAAGCCCCGAAGCCCCGAAACCCCAAAACCCTTAAACCCTAGACCCCAAACCTCCCTCTAGGAAGCACCTGACCTCTGCCCTGACGTTCGCAGGGAGGCCAGCATAGGCTGCGAGCGGCTGGCGCCCAAAGACCTGTGGGTCTTCGGGTTGGAAGTTCAGAGTTTAGGGGTTCAGAGCTGAGAGTTTAGGGTTTAACAAGGATTTAGGGTGTAAGGTTCGGGTTTATGGTTCAGGGCTTTAGGGTTTTACACTTCCCCAGAAGTGCACTTACACTGACCCCCTCTGCACCGCGGCTTCCTTCTGCAGCAGCTGCCACAGCGACGACAATAAGCACCATAAACAGCAAAAAGGTTGCCAGCAACGTCGCAGCACAGAAAGATTCTCTCCAGCAACGCTACAGCAGCAACAACAACCGTGACCACGCTAGCAGCTGTGTCTGACAGCAAAAACGGAAAGCTTGCCCTTAACCGTCTGCGCGAGCTTGGGCTGCCGCTTGCTACCGTCTGGCACCCCGCCACCTACGGCCTCAGTGTTGGGCATGGCAACAAAAAGCAGGGGCTCAAGCCTTGAAACGCCTCTCGGCTCTCGAGCATCTGGGCAATGCAGATTATTTCGAATATGCATATGAGTGTTACGTTTTTTTCTTCAGTATTTTACTGTTACTATTTCGAACTACTATGCTATGGTAACTACTACTATAGGATCTTAAGCAGGATGCGACTTGTTGTGAGACGCGATTCTCCGAGGCATGCGCGGGATTTGCGACGAGGGGCGGTCGTCCGGAAGGACCTCTGACGCAAGGGCTGGGTATGCTGGGACTAGGGAATACCCTCGACACTTCTCAGTATTCAAAGGCCGTCTGCCAACCACGACCAGCAGCAACAGCAACAGCAACAGCAGCAGCAGCAGCAGCAGCAGCGCCACCATCACCACCGCCACCAAAACCACCACCACTGCAGCCGTCAACGTCATCGTCACCATGCCATCAGTATCATAGTAATATTATTGCTCATGTTTCTTTATCCTCAACATTTGCAGCAACACCAGCATCATCAACATCATCACTCATCTTGATCATACTCACCACTAACGTATCGCCAACATCAGCATCAATAGCAACATCGCCATCGTCATCATCACCACAATCATCATCACTGTCATTGTCGCCAGAACTGCACCATCGTCATCAATTTCTTCATCACCGACATCACTAGCATGGTCATTGTAGTCGTCATCACCATCACCTGCTCAGTAGCATCGACATCATTAGCGACATCATCGTAACAGTCGTCCCTTACCTATTGCATTGCCGCGGAGCATCCCTAAACCGACCCTAAACCCTGAAGACGGCCCTAAACCCTAAACCCTTACTAAGGGCTACCGGGCTTTGAGAAGTAGACCCAGCCTCGCAACGGGCGCTTGGCGCCTCCGCCCTCGTTCAGAGAGTCCAGCCTCAAGAGGTTCTATGCTTGCGGGCCTTGTGGCTTTGGGGAGCTTTAGTGTTTTGAGAAAGTCCAGCCTTAACCAATTCTTTTAAGGTTTGGGGTCTTGGCTGGGGGGATCTTGGGGCTCTAGGCTTTTGGAGTCTTGGGGATTTTGTGTTTTGGGCTTGGGCTGTAGGGTCTTGGGCGTTCGGCTTAGGCTTTAGGCTTTAGGGGTCTTGGGGATTCGGGGCCAGAACTGCGAACCCCAAGTCTAAAACCGCAATCAGTGGCTTCGGGTTCATAAGGTTTGGGGCTCAGGGATTAGGGATTTAGGGCTGGGGACAGATGCTTGCGATGCTTGAGCATTGCATCTCGATAGGGTTCTGACACTTCTGGGGTTACTAAAACCCCCGAGGCCTGACATCTAAAGCTTCACTAAACCCTGAAATCCGAAACCCTTCTTCCCTAAGCCTCTGGCGCAAGTCAAAGTTCTACAGTTCAAGAGTAAACCTTCGCAGTGGAAAGCATAAACAAAACATCTACGAAGCCCTTTGCTTAGGCACTTTGCCGATACCCTCGACTAACCCTCACGTCCAGAACCCTCAGATCGCAAACTACCTACATGTAAGCTCCAAACTCTGGCTTAAACCCCCAAACCTTAATTCGACAAACCCTCAAGCCCTAAACTCCAAAAACCCTGCGCGGAGAACCCAAAAGACCAAAACCCTAAGAACTTTCCCTGGGACCGGAACATTGCTTGCGCAGCACGCTTGGAAGCACTCGACCTACAGAAGGAAGGGGACTGCGAACAGAAAGTTCAGGTGATTTTGGTTGTGTCCCAGGGTTTAGGGCTTGGGGTTTGATCCCAATCTTGCCTGTAGGTTTAACAATCACGGTTCCTTGGTACATAAACGAACAAGCATCGCAAGCAGCAGCGAAGGTGAAAAACAACTAAGCAGCGGAGATATGCAGAGAGGAGGACCTCCCATGCAGATCCGAGCTCCCTGCACCCATGATGAAGAGTTACCCACCGGGACGTCTGGCGTCTCCTGCACAAGAACTATCTCGCATAAAGCCTGCATCACTGTTACCCTTACATTTGCAAGCATATGCATTATGCACGAGACTTCATTCAACTTGACTTGTTGCGAAAATTTCGATGACTAGAATCGCTTGCAGGGTCTACGTCGCTCCTCGAAGCTCTTCTTCGTCTTCAGAAACGGCAGCAGGGGCGACTTCCCAGGTGACAGCATCGGCGCCGGGCCCTGCAACTTAGACTAATTGACGAAGATACAAATGCCAACACAAACAGCAGCAGCAGCAGCAGGAGTAGTAGTACTAGTAGTAGCAGTAGTAGCATCAGCAGGAGTTATAGTAGTAGTCGTCGTAGTACTAGTAATAGTAGTAGTAGTAGTCGTCGTCGTCGTCGTCGTTGTCGTCGTTGTCGTCGTAGTAGTAAGTAGTAGTAGCAGTAGTAGTAGTAGTAGTAGTAGTAGTAGTTGTAGTTGTAGGAGTTGTAGGAGTTGTAGGAGTAGTAGTAGTAGTAGTAGTAGTAGTAAATTGTTGTGGTTGTTGCGCCAATAGCAATGGTGATGGTGCTGCCGCGGCTGCTTCGCTGCTGAACTGAAGAGAGTGAAATTGAAGAATCTAGCTTTCACCGGTACTGAAGTTGTAAGACCCTCGTGGAGCAACAAGTGCGAGGCTGACGAGCTATTGCCACCTGAAGCCTGCATCGAAAAGCTCTGTTCCATCTCAGGAATCACAGGCAACCCCAAAGCATCCTCGGCACTGCGTTCTACTGGGTTGTAGTTTTGGCACCCTGGAAAGTATTGAATAGGTACCTCTATAGGAACTATAACGGGAATTAAAAAGTCTCCCAAAGTGCCACATAATATGCCACATAATATAGCAAACTGAAGTATAATACATTGTAATGTAGTGTCATGTCGAAAAATATAATACACTAGAGTATACTAGCCACACGCGCTGCCTCGCCCTCTGCACAGACCCATCCCACCACGGGTGGTGAATGGCCTGCCCAGGAGCTTCAGTTCGAGATTCCCGGCTAAGTCTCGATAAAATGGAATATCCTATACGACTTATAGTTGCTGACGTAATATAGCATAACAAAATAGAACAAAATAAAAGTGTAATTCAATATTCTATTGTATAATACAGTATACGATAGTCATAAAGTATCATAATATGATCATTTGTCCGCTTGCATGCGTTGAGGAAGTTGGTTAGTGAGTATTTGGTTTACGAAACCCAGGAAGCACACAGAGGTGGAAGACAACAAGGCGATGCAGCTTGCTTTCGGCCTAATGTGCGACCTCAGCGAAAGTGAAGCTAAGTGAGTATTCGCCCCCAGCAATGTCTCATAAGAATTAGGAGAGCGCGTTGTTACCATGACAAGGTAAGAATTAGTGCGGAGCCCTGAATAATGGAAAGTTTCGCCGGCCTTATTGGTGCACGGGGATAAGTTTTGCTTTATTTGCGGGAGAGGAGGACGAAGGGGGGCAATGATTGAAAGTTTCTCTGGCCGGTCAACTTATTGGAAAAGGCTCCCGAAATTATTGCTTCGGCCCGAGTACGCTGAGTACGCTACCCGGCTGCGCCCTTGGAGCTCCATGAATTCAAATTTCACCAGCCTATAGCTATTTATTGCACTACTGCTTCCATTACTATCAGTGGTGCGGTTG